AGAGAGAGAGAGGGGGGGGGGAGAGAGAATTATTGATTAAGAGAGACAGCAAGACAGAAAGAGAGAAGAGAAGGGGGTAATTAAAACAATCTTTAAAAAGAAAGAACGAAAAAGAAAAAAAAAGGCCCTACTGGTTAGAATATCTATAGCACATCTGAAGATTTGTTTCCCCTGTATTTCTAGGGGAAAAAAAAAAGAACATAAATTCTAAGAATAAAGAGACTGAATTCTTTGGGACAGGTTACAAAAGCTAAATCCTTTTAGAACTTAGAACAAATATCCATGTATAACCAAAGGAAATGAATTCAGTATGTTAAAACTACATTGCCTTGTTTACTGTTCTTAACAGTCAGGAAATGGAAACAACTCAAAAACCTATCAATTGAAGAAGAAAAGGGAAATACACACAAACACACACACACATTTTTTTTTTTTAGGTAGAGAAATCAATGAATTCTGTCATTTTTATGATGTTAAGTGAAACAAGCCAAACACAGAAAGACAAATGGATATGTGGAACTTCAAAAGTTGATCTCACTGATGCTAGGAACACAATTAGTGATACCAGATGTTGAGGAAAGTTGGAGTGAAGGATGAGGAAAGGTGGGTCAGCACACTGTTATAGTTTAAAGAAAAGAACTAAGTATTCTGTTATAGTAGGGTGACTCCAGAAAACAATTATGTATTACATACGTCAAAAAAGCTAGAAGGATTCTGCATGTTTTTAATCAAAAAGAAATTATAAATATTCAAGGAGAGACTTGCCTTACTTGACGCTTATTCTGATCTGAACTTTACACATGATATATCCATGTACTAAAACAAAGTACCCATAAATATGGAAATTAAAAATATAAGATATAACCACCAGGTATGGCAGTGCATGTCTTTAATCTCAACACTCCAGAGACAGCAGCAAGTGGGTCTCTGTAGGTAGGAGGCCAGCTTGGTCTACATAGTGAGTTCCATGCCAGTCAGAGCTACAAAACTTGTCTCTAAGTAAGTAAATAAAGTATATGAACAAAACAAAATCCAACCCAAATATTTTTCCAATTGTGACTACAGAAAACACAATTTTTTTCTTTTAGTTTTTAGTAGTATGTGAAATCTCAAAGTAAAAACTTTCAGACTAAAACAAAAATCCTGTGTTAGTGTGTAGTTCTAAACCATCACAGATTGCATGAGAACTTCCCCAGAAGCACTTGGGCATCCTCTCCCAGTGTAGCCTAATAGAAATCCTCTAGGTAAGTGGCACAGAATTCTGCTAAGATCCCACCCAAGTTTCTACTGCACTTCAAACTCTGGTCACTACATAGAGGGGAAAAAAAATGTGTACAAACAAGAGAAATGCACATTATTTGTAGATATATATTCAATACCATTGCCAAACATCTTTTATTCTAATTAACTTATGGATAAAGAGACAACTAAAAAAAATCTTAAGGAATTTTTGTTTGAAAAATAAGTCTTTACCTTATTACAATTAAAAAGTTCATGTAAGTTCACATAAGTCAATTTTATACACAGATTGAACTAATTTGTCTAAAAATTGCGATTCTCACTTTGACATACTACCTGAACAGTTGTCTAAACCACTATTATATAACTCTAACCAAGACTAATACAGGAATTACATATTCATCAAGACTTAAAGAAAAAATAACCACAAATACATTAGTTTTAGTTCCTTAATTCCCTTATAAAATCATTTAAAATTTTATTATTCATTTATTTAATGTGTGTATGTGTAGGATGGTGTATAAGGTCAGAAAATCACCTAAGGGAGTTGGTTCTCTCCTTCCATCACATGGATCTCAGGGATAGAACATTCAGAGATAGGTCATCAGGCTTGGTGACAAGTGCTTTTACCCATTGAACCAGTTTGCTGCCCCCTTGTAAGAATATTGCAGTATACCCATAAACAAGTATTAATAATAGAATTTTCTCAAACTAAAAACACACTATATACCCTCTAAAACTTTTGAGAGAAAAGCTACTTTTAGGTGGCTCCAATCCATACATGACCTGTACATTAAAAATGTAATAAGAATGCTAATCTTTTAAAGAATATTTTTCCATAAGCCTAGCAAAATCTTCATTATTTTAGTCTTAATTCATCTTAATGTTTATTCATTTTTAAGGCCATTTAGTTGCCCTTGGAAAGATTCACACTATTCTCCCTAAAGGCTAATCAGCAAGTTCTTATCCCCTCTGTGCCAACACTGAACCTCCAGAACAGTTCTACTAGCTACTATAGAGCAACAACCCTAGAGTGCACATTACTTACCATTGGGTAAGTACATAATGAAACCACAATTCAAGAACATCTTTGTCAGCTTTTGAACAATAAAAGGAAAGAAAACTGACACTCTGGCATGTGACTATCAATGACGAAGACTGGAAGCAGAAATAGACTCTGGTAACTAATAATTTAGAATAAATGAAGAAAATGCCCAGGGTCTACCTCAAGTAGAGTGGGAATTATTGCAAGTGGGGAAACAGGAATGCAGAATAAACACTTAAAATACACGGATGGGAGTGAATTGAGTTTGGCTGATACTTTGGGTGATCTGCTTCTAACAGATCAGAACATCTTAAAAAGGCAGAATCCTTAACACTAAACATTTACATTAACATTTCATTAACATTTCAATTTTGCTTGTTTCCCCTTGTAGCAATTCTACGAGACCTGGTAATCTGAACGGAACACGGACAACTCCGGCACATGTAAGTGAAAGGTAACATGAGAAAATTAATTTGTCAAAAATTGGTACTGCATCAAAGAATCATTAAAACATTTTTACCAACCATGTTGCAAAAGACCTCTAGCCGGTTTGAAACATCTCTCAACATACAGCCAACTACTTTCTCAAATACTATTGTAACAGTGACTAATGCAAACCTTTTAAACAGTTTTTCTAACGATTTCCTCCACCTTATAAATATTTTGATCACGTACAATGAAACAGTTAAAGAAAGAATGTACAATTTTTAAAATTATATTTAACATGCAGTCTCCTTAATCAAAGGAGGTGTGACAACCAATGCAACGCATGTAAAAATTAGCCTTAATCCGCCAACCAAAACACGCAAAATGTCTCCTAACAATTCTCCTCCTTAAAACAACCATACACAAAATACCGTGCTGACTTACACTCTGCTGCAAGCAGCTCATTAATAAAGAGACTAGTTATGTTTGGAGATCAAGGTGCAACACTCTCATCTCACAAACCTCTCCACAGAAGCACATTATCCAAGCAAAAACGAACATTATTTTTGTTAAAGCAAGAATCCAACCTCAGGGAGCCTCAGCCCTTAGACAATGGTGGTTACCAGACAGCGCAGCACAGTTGGGTCCAAATGACACATTTCACTAGGCCTTGGTCACAACATACACGCGCGCGCGCGCGCGCGTCTACATACAGATACACACACGATCCCAAGGGGTCCATTCTACGGCAGGGGTGCTCAAACCCACCCGGAGATAGAGGGGAGCACCGTGGCGTAGAGGGAAGGAGAAGGGGACAACACAGCGGAAGGGTAACTGCACTGCACATAAGGGAGGGGGCTGGAAATGGCCGATAGCTTCTATATGTATTTATTTAAAGGTATTGATTTAACGGGTTCTTGCCCGGGGTTCTGTAACTAAAGGCAAACTGTGCAGCAAAGATCTTGAGGTTGGGAGAGGGACCGCTACTCCCCCTGCCCCGTGACCTGGAGGGGGGCACACAAGTTCCCTAGCCAGCGCCGCAGACCACTCGGGCGCTCCTCTCCCCCTCCTCCAGGACAAGGGGGAACCCACAGAGAAGGAGAAAACAAGTTCCCCGGCCAGCCTCACCGCCCTACGCTGCCAGCCGTCCCCCCACCTACCACGAGAAAGGGGGAGCCCAGACCGAGCCAGGCGGCAGAAAGGGGGGAAATCCCACCCTCTGCCCGCCCCCGGCCGCGAACACACTCCCGTGGGGTGGGTGAGCCAGCCGGGAAGCCCCAAGGAGGGGTGGGGACCGAGGGTGCCGGCCCCGAAACCAAACAAAGCGCGGCCTGAGCCGCAGCCCGGACGGATCGCGCAGCCGCGGCTTTTCCTGCCGGCCAGGCCGGGCCGGGCCGGGCCCAGGCGAACACTGCGGCACGGTGGGACCCGCCTCCGCTCGGCCTCCGTCTCCCACCCCGGGCGCGCCGCCACCGCCCCCGCCCGGCCTCCAGCCCGCCCGGTGCGGCCCGGCCCCGAGCGCGGCCTTACCCCTCTCGCCGGCGTTGTTCCGATCCTGAGGCGGCGGCGGAGGCGGCGGTGGCGGCGGCGGGGGCTGCTGCTGCGGTGGCGGCGGGGGCTGCTGCTGCTGCTGGGGCGGCTGCGGCGGCTGCTGCTGCTGGGGCGGCTGCGGCGGCGGCTGCTGCGGGGGCTGCTGCTGCTGTTGCTGCTGCACCGGGCGCGGCCGCGACACTCGCCTGGGTCTCCGGTTGGCGGCTCGGACGGAGTTCATTTGCCGGGCTGAGGTGGCGGCGTTGGCGGAGGGACACACACACTCACGCGCACACGCACCGCGAGCTCCGGGGCCGGGGACGGGGGTGGGGAGCGGGAAGGAGCCGGGCGGCCGGGGACGCGGGGACGAGGGCCCGGGCCGGGCGTGAGCCCCCGGGTCCGCGGGGAGGCTGGAGTACAACCGGAGCTCGAGCAAGGCCCGCCGGCCAGGCCTGGCGCACGGGCAAGGCCGGGGCCGCCGGGCGGGGCGGCCGCGAGGGACGCAGACAGAAAGACGGGCCGGGCAAGAGAAAGAAAGAAAGGGCGTCCGTCCGCCTGGGGAGCCCGAGGCGAAGCGCGGCGGCGGCCGAGCAGACGAGCCGGGCCCGCCGACTCCCGAGCGGCGTCTCCGGCGGCGGGGGGAGTGGGCGGGCGGGCGATCTCGGAGAGGGCGAGCGGGGCGGGAGCGCGCGGGGGGCGCCCGGCTCCTCCGTTCCTCTTCCTCCCCCCACACCCCCTGAAAGAGCGCCCTGCGAGGAATTTTCTCTTTCTTCGGCCTCTTCTCTCTCTCCTCCGCCCCCCCCCTCGGCGAAGGGGAAATGAGTGTAAAGGGAGGAGATAGGGGCAAAAGGAGGCGTCGTTGTTCCTCCTCCTTAAAGGAACCTTTCCTCCTCAGCCCCAGCGCCGCCGCCGTCGCTGCTGCTGCTCCGTGGCAGGAGGAGCCATTGACACCGTCGGAGCCTCCACTCTAGCCCAGTGGGTCCCTCCCCGCCTTGGGGCTGGCCGGGGGACGCGGGGGAGGGCCGCGGAGCGGCGGGGGAGGGGCGGGGGCGGGGACAGAGGGGGCGTGGATTCCGGCCGGGGCTTGACCAATGGGAGGCGCCCTACAGTCTCGGAGCCAATGGAGTCTCCTCTCTTATCGCGAAGCCCCTTCCTCCAACGCCCTGTTTCCTCTCTCGGGTTTCCTCCTTCCCTGGCGGAGGAGGAGGAAAGAGGAAAGGGGGAGTGTGGCAGGGCGGGTGATAATGGGGAGGTATCAGGGCATATAATGGAGCTGGGGGTAGGCGAAGGAGCGGCAGTACGAAGCGAAGATTCTAGGAGAGGAGGTGCTCAGAAGAAAGGGCGGGGGCTGCTGATGTAATTGGGAGAAGTGATTAATCCTGCATTTTGCCGTTTCAGCCTCCCTCCACCCCAACCTTCACCTGGTTTTCTTAAACGGAACTTGGAGTGAGGGACTCAATCTTTGGTAACTCCGGATTTCTGTGCTCGGTAGGTTCAAATTCTCAACTATAGGGAGCGCTACAAGCTCTGTGGCCTTTAGTACAGCTGAGAGTATTTGCAATCTTAAGAAATCTGCTTTGACTCAGCTTACAACTTGAGTTTGGAGTCGGTTCCAGCTTTTGTCACCCAAACTTTCAGAATGTTTTAGATCTTTAACCAGTTAAATTGCTTTGGTTTTTAGAAAAGTCTACATAATGTTCCGGAAGTAATAAAATAAAAATGGGTGGAGGTTGTGATTGACCATTGTTTTATTTTTTGTTTTTTGTTTTTAGGTCCCACGAAGTCAAGAAAGATAAACCCCCAAGAGGAATTTTCTTTTATATCTGTATCTGGTTCCCTTAGCACGATCTCTCCCCAAGGAAAATGTGTTTCTATTCCCTGGCCGCCGTCATGACTGAAAATGTACTCCACTCACTATTCATTATTGCATAGCTGGTAGTTTACCTCTGAATTCCCTAATTTTCGGAGGTTTCAGTGATTTTCTACTTGAATTTCATTGATTGCTTCCTAGGCTTAAGATAGATAAAACACTACAAAGCTTCAGAAAAGACAGAAAGGGAGAAAAGTGAATTCTGGGAGAAGCACAAGGAGAGGTAAGCCAGGATTGTGCCGTGTGTACCCCCAGATATCTTATGTGACTCCAGGCAAATTACCCTTCTGGATGTTAGACATCTGCCATTTAAATAAAACTTTATCTTATGGTGTACAATTGCTGTTTTTCTTTTCTTTTTTTTTCCCCTCTTTTGGTTGTGATTTTTGAGATGCTTTATTTTTGATCAGAAAAATAAATAGAGACTGGGATAATTTTTTTTCAAAGACTCATAATCTTTTCAAAACCTATATGTGAAGACAGCTATTTGAAAAACATCTTGAGGGGCTAGAAAGATGGCTCATCCCTTAAGAGGTCTGGCTGTCCTTCCAGAGGTCTCACTTCATCCCAGCAACCGAGTGGTAGCTCACAACAATCTGGAACTCCAATTCCACCCACCCTCTGTCCTGGCTGTCCTGGAACTCACTCTGTAGACCAGGCTGGCCTCGAACTCAGAAATCCGCCTGCCTCTGCCTCTCAAGTGCTGGGATTAAAGGCATGTGCCACCACTGCCCGGCTATTTACAGAATTCTGAAAGCTGGGCAAGTTGTAGGCTATCCTGAACTGCATAACAAGACCCCATCTCCAAATAAATACATAAATAAATATTCAAAATGTTATGGTTGTTAACTGGGTGAAAATAGACATTTGTGGTTGGGTTAAACATTGAGGGAAGGGTTTTAAAAGTCTGAAAAATAGGATATTATAATTGTGTCCATAATTCTAATTACATTAAGAATTTGTAGCTGGGTAGTGGTGGCATATACCTTTAATACCAATACATGGGAGGCAGAGGCCAGTTAATCTGAGTTCGAGGCCAGCCTGGTCTACAGAGCTAGTTCTAGGACAGCCAAGGTTAAACAGAAACCATCCTGAAAAGCAAAAAAAAAAAACAAAATTTCTACCCAACAAGTACATACTGGTTCTTTTGACATAGCCATGATTTTTTTTTTTTTTTTGGTTTTTCGAGACAGGGTTTCTCTGTGTAGCCCTGGCTGTCCTGGAACTCACTCTGTAGACCAGGCTGGCCTCGAACTGAGAAATCTGCCTGCCTCTGCCTCCCAAGTGCTGGGATTAAAGGTGTGCGCCACCACTGCCCAAAATTGATGGTGGTGCACAGTTGCAATTTTTTTTTTTTTTTATAGCCATGATTTTTAATTTTGGTGTGGTGGAATTGAAGATTTATTGATAGAAGTAAATGCAGATGCAGAAAGACACTAGCTTATTTTTCTCTAATGGTTTGTGACATTTTTATGTATTTTGTGTGTGTACATGTGTATTGTGTGGACAGGTGTGCAATGGCATGGATCTGGAGGTCAAAGGACAACTTAGAGGAAGAGTGGGTTCTTTCCTGCCATGTGGGTTCTGAAGGCCAGATTCGTCTCTGTTCCCGTCGTTTTTAGCCCCAGGGCCACACACCTCAGTCTTCTACATAACTACCATCTTCAGATTTTGTTTCATAATTTGCTTATTCCAAAGTATGTTTAGGGCAAGGAGTTTATATAAGTTAGAGAGGATTCCTTTTGCATATCCTAGATTTCTGAACCAACTATAACATTTATCTGGCCAATAAGGGTAACCATGCCATATTTCTAACATAGCATTTCTTGTTTTATAACATTTTCTCAATACATAAAAATAAGTGTTTTAGCCAGGCAGTGGTGGCACACGCCTTTAATCCCAGCACTTGGGAGGCAGAGGCAGACGGATTTCTGAGTTTGAGGCCAGCCTGGTCTACAGAGTGAGTTCCAGGACAGCCAGGACTACACAGAGAAACCCTGTCTCGAAAAAAAAAAAAAAAAAGAAAGAAACAAAACACCTCTCCTTCCTTCTAAACAGTGTCTACTATGTGGTCTTAAATAACCTGGACCTCAGTTTATAGACCAGGCTGCTCTTGAACTCAAAAATCCATCTACTTCTGTCCCCCAAATATTAAAGGCATCTGCCAGCCCAGGAACTGCCTTTTCTAATAAACACAGTGACTAAGGAGTAGGGGGGTTTACTTGTCAGGAGGAAAGGAGTCTAAGCTTCCCTTTGTGGTGTTCTCTAGTATGGCCCTTTTTATGCTCAGGAGTGTTAACCTCAAAGGTAAAACTAGTCATTTCTATTCTTTTGAGGTACTATGTAATTTCGTTTCATTGTGATTCATTTTAAGGTATTTGTCACCTTCCTCCTCTCCCTTCCCCTCCCCCACAGCACTGTGTCCTAAACTTGAGTCTTCAAGGGTCAGATCATCCTCAGGGTAGCAGGCACTTTGTCTTCTCACTGAAAGGCACCATTACTTCTGGACTTCCTGAATACCCCCTGTAGGTCTAGATGAGGTGGAGTCCTTGCTTTACCCTCACTGGACTACCATCTGCCAGTGTCACGTGGGACATGCTTTGTGGCTGAAAGCAACACTCAAAGAGCCTCGGCTTCTCCCAGGCATGCCCAGAAAAACAACCCTCATCTTAGGGTCCTTGAGCCTCTCTCCCTACAGTATGTGAATCTGTCAGCTTCCTACTCCCAACTTTTCTTCCCACCAGGAGAGTGTGTGGAAAGTAAGCCAGGTCTTCCCTGGCCCTGTCTTCTTCCTAGGCTACAAAGGATGATTTTTTTTTTTAAACATTCCTTCTGTACTACATTCTTTTTTTCTTTTCTTTTTGAAGATCTAATCTATGTTGTGGTTCAGGCTGGCCTTGAACTTCTGTCCTTCCTGCCTTCACCCCTGCAGTCCTGAGGGCACAGGCTCTTCCTCCTTGAGATGCATCTGCACTGCTCTGTTCCTTAGATGAAATGTGAAAAGAAATTAGTTTAACAATAATGGATCTTTTGGGAGGTTTTTTTTTTAAATATCTTATTTCCATGTCACTAGTTTAGACATATTTTTAGTTTAGTTCATGGAATTAAAGTCTTAGAGTCTTGTTTGTACGACAGCGTTCTGAGATATCTTAAAATTGTGGATTTTTAGGGTGGGCTTTGGAAACCATTTAATCTCATATCTGTATTTAGCAGACTGCAAAATGAGACAAGAGATAACAAAACCATATCCTGTTAATTAGTTAGTAACAAAGCTTGCCAGTCCAACGGCCTTTCTATTCACAGGTATTACAGACATGGAATGTTTCTGGGGAAAACCCAAAACATTCCAGAGGGTTTTCATCCACCACCAGATCCATGTCCATTAGCAAGTGATGCTGACAGCTGCCATAGCAATTGTAAACGAGCTGCTTATGGTGGCTCACAACTATCATTCCAATACTCAAGAAGCTGAGGCGGAAGGATTGCTGTGAGTTTAAGACCGTCATGAACTACACACTGATTTCTAGGCCAGTCTGAACTACAGAGAGATAGAGCCTGTTTTGTATTTGTATGTGGGCTGGGCAGATACGCTGTGCCCACCTAGTGTGCACACACAAGCCTGAGGAAGACTGGAAGACTTCAGGTGGACAGACTTCAACTGTGCCTTATTTCTTTGAGGCAGGCTCTCTCACAGCCCCTGGAGCTAGGCTGGAGGCCAGCAAACCCTAGTGCTCTGGCTACTGTGTCTACCTCTCATAGCCCTAGAGTTACATATGTGTATGGACATATTTATTTATTTATTTACATGGATGCTGGGATTCAAAGTCTGGTTTCATTTTGTTCAGCAAACTCTCTTTCCTACTGAGCCAAACCCCTTGGGGGTTTTTGTTTGTTTGCTTGGTTGATTGGTTGATTTTTCTTTCGTTTTCCAGAAGAAGTTGTTAGGTGATGGAAAGTAGAAAAAAAAGTAAAGGGGATTTTCATTTGGGGTAGCAGTCTTCCAGAAATACTTGAGTAACACTTAGGATAATTTCAGAGGACTGAATTCCCTCAGGGTTTTCTCTGTCTTCAAGAACATTTGTGTTTGTTTTTCTTAACTAATTACTAGTGTTTAGTAGGTTAGTGTACTTAAAATTATTTGCTTAAGAAACCTATCACAATAGGAGTGTAGAAAATAAGCTGTTTAATCATTTTAATACCTGGCAAGTGATATTTATTGTAATTTTTAAAATTATAATTTCTGCCATTTTTAAAGATTCAGCTTCCTTCCCTGTCAGCCACCATCTAGTCCCAAGCCATCAGCAGTCAGCCAGTTACATAAGCCGCCCAAAGCCTCTCACTCCTTTTATGTCACTTAAGAAATTAGTTTGATCTGAATATAGTTCCCCTACAGGAATAACCATCTCTGTTTAAAATGCCTGTGTTAGAGTATGAATGGCTTATCTCACTAAGCTACACAAAGTCATTCTTTAGTACACGCTCTGATAATACTTTATCAGGTAGTGAAAATTAACCCAAAACCAAGGATTTAAATGTCTGTCTACACAGGAAGGACTGGTAACCACAATCCAGTGATTCTAATACAAGAGGTCACTTTTAAAGAATTGCAGAGTAACTTTAATAGAATAATACAGTAGAAGAAATTAATTATGCTCAAGATTTAGGGTGCATTGTGGTTGATAACTATACAGCTTTATATTTTGCTTTTAAAGGGAGAAGCCATTTTCTAAATGTTGAGAAGACTAGACCAAAGTCCTTGAGTATGTTGTTCCATGGAGGCCTGGGCAATGCCAGAAGCAGGGATAGCTGTGAGGAAGAACCCCACCAGGAAGTGTAGTCAATGGTTGAATGACCTTGGGCAAATTCCTTGGCCTTTGTGGCTGGTTTTACATCTGCAAAATGGGTGTGAGGCATTGATAACATTCTCATTTTGAATGACTGTCAGAGTCAGGCAGTGGTGGCGCACGCCTTCAATTCCAGGACTTGGGAAGCAGAGGCAGGCGGATTTCTGAGTTCTAGGCCAGCCTGGTCTACAGAGTAAGTTCCAGGACAGCCAGGGGTACACAGAGAAACCCTGTCTCAGAAAAGAAAGAAAGAAAGAAAGAAAGAAAGAAAGAAAGAAAGAAAGAAAGAAAGAAAGAAAGAAAGA